GGAAAGAAAGAGAAAAAGTAAGAGACACAGACTCAGAGATACACAGAGAGCGAATGGAATACGTAGATAAGAGAATCCCATGACACAAACCCATTTGGTTGTCCCCATCTTGAACGCTGCCAAGGGATCCCTCCTGTCGCTAGAAGGAGTCAGCGCCTACTGACTCCTCTCCCAACTTTCCCTCTCTTTATAGGGAGCAGCTTGGCTTCCCTTCACAAGCCATGAGCAATGGAGGGGACTAGTCATTTCATTGTGCGTACATTAGTTAAGGTTGAAATTTGAAATATATACGTATATATTTATATGTATTCATATATATATGATTATATACTTATATATTTATCTATACATATATACACACACGTGTATATATATATATATATATATATATATATATATATATGTTTCTTTCTTTCTTTTTTTTAACAGCCATTTATTCCACTACAGGACAGAAGCCTCTCTCAGGTGACTATTGAGAGGTTATTTCGGAGTGGCACCATTGCTTGATTGATGTCCTTCCTAATCAACCACGGTTCGGCGCGATAACACTCGTGCCACGACGGTGACTTCCCCTAAGACACCCGCGTTTGACTTGTCAGTGTGATATGTCATTTTCTCGCCAGCAGTCGGAACGCAGGCATTTTAACGACTGCCGCGACCGGGAATTGAACTTGGGACATTGAAGGTCCAGTCCACTGGACTATCGCGGCAGTCACACACACACATATATATATTTATATATATGTATATATAATGTATATATATATATATATATATATATATAACACATATATACATGAACAAACACACACACACACACACACACACATATGCATATATATGTATATATATACAAACATTGATATTTCGAGGTTGTTTGATAACCTTGATAACCTTAACTATTGGCTTTAAGAAGTCTAGCATGCTTGTGGTTGCAATATGCTCATATATATACATACACACACAAATACGTATATGAATATGAATATCTAGGTATATCTATCTTTCTATCTATCTATCTATTATCATCATCCTGTAATCCTCTCCCAAAGTTTTCCAATTATGCTCCAAATTTCGCCATTTGGCCGTGACACCTTGTCATAATTCAAGGTCTTGGCCTCCCTGTGTTAGGTTCATTCCAGTCAGTCACTTTCTTTGTCCAGCTTTCGCCCTGTCTCCGACTTTTGTGGCATGCCCATCGCCATTTGTTCTTAATGCTGCTGATCATATCTTCCACTCTGACCCTTATGTCATGACTGGGACGACGCATTTTCCCTTGAAACTGGCAAAAGAAACACTTATCATGTTACTGCGTACGACTAAGGCGCACCAACCTAGCCTAATATATATGTGTGAGTGTGTGTGTACACACACACACACACACACACACACACACATATATATATATATGTATATATATATACATTATATATGTATATGTATATATATGTATGAATATATACTTACATGTATACATACATATACATATGTACCTATATTTGTATATATATGTATGTATGTATGCATGCATTTGTGTATCTACATGTGTTCAAAACACACGCACACACACACATATATATATTATAATTATATGTTTATATACACATACATGCATACATACATATATATATATGTATATGTACATATATACATATATATGTATATATACATATATATATATATATATATATATATATATATATATATATATTATATATATGTATGTATATACATACATGTATACATATATATACACACATATGTAGATATATATGGATATATATATGTATGCATGTATTTGTATATATATACATATATATGTAGGTTCAAAATACATACATATATATATACATATACATAAGTATATATATATATGTACACACACACACACACACACACACACACACACACACACACACACACACACACACACATATATATATACACATTCGTACTGCATGTATATGAACATATATATATGTGTGTGTGTATGTATATATATATATCTATGCATATATATCATCTATATCTATACATGTATGTATATACACAAACACACACACATATTTATTATATGTATATATGCGTGTGTATACTAACACATATATATGTATATATATATGTATGTAAACACACACATACACATGTATACATGCGTGCGCACACACATACACACTCAATGCATATATATATATATTCACACACATATACACATACATACATATATATATATATATATATATATATATATATATATATATGCATATAAATATATGTATATATCTAAATGTGATCTATTTATAAATATATATATGCATATATATACACATAAATATACATATATGTATTAATACAGTATATATATGTATATAGGGGCTAACGCCGACGTGGACGCATGGCCGCATCCACCCTTCGCTTCCAGCCCTAAAGGCGAGACTCCAGGCAGGTCCTCGACCCATTTCTAACTCCCCGCGACAAGTCTCGTGAAGCTGCCCAAGCCATGAACTATTAAGTCGTCCTACGGCCCTAGGAATGTTTCGCAGAGAGACAACCTGATGGGCAGGGTCATCCACAGGGAAACGAGCTAGGAGCCCATATAACCTGAGTTTGCGATCCCGGATTATGCAAGTAACAGGTCCCATGCCAGTCTCACGGTGTAGCCGTCGGTCGGACGCATGGTCCTGTCAACTGTACCCCCACGATTATCTCTGAAAGCCCAGAGATATGCAAATTTTTCTGTGACTTCGATGTCCTCACTGCAAGCATGGACTGACTAAACGGGTTCCCCTAACAGGCCCCCAAAGTCCTGAATGTTGGTCTTGGTCCAGGAGACTTCTAGGCCCAAGGGCTTTGCCTCATTGCTAAATGCATCAAGAGCCGCCACTAGTGACTCCAGAGACTCAGATACAATAGCAACATCATCTGCAAAGTCAAGATCAGAGGTCTTGATATTTCCCAGAGTGGCTCCACACTGACTTTGGATAGTAGCTCGGCCCATTATCCAGTCCACGCCGGTGTTGAAAAGTGTTGGTGCTAAGACACAGACTTGCTTCACCCCTGAATTAACAGGGAAGAAGTTTCACAGGTCCCCAGCACACTTTACAACACTTTCAGTACCGGAAGATAGTCTTGCTATCAGGCCAATAATCTGTGTTGGAATTCCCCTAAGTCTCGGAATCTCCCATAGCGATTCTTGATGCACCGAGTCAAATGCTTTGTTAAGGTCGATGTAGGTTGCAAGCAACACGCGGCGAAGCTCACGATGGCATTCCGCAATTTCTCAAAGCGATAGGATATGGTCTATTGTGAACTTGCCAGGAGTGAATCCAAACTGTTTCTGTCTCTGGTGCCTTAGTAGGTGGTCGCAGATCCGTTTTAGAAGAATGTGGGCGAAAATCTTGCCTGGTACTGAGCAGTGTAATACCACCATAGTTGCCAAAGTCCCAATAATCCCCTTATCCCTTCCAGAGAGGGATGACCATGCCCCTCAACAGGTCAGGGGTAATGGAACCAAACTGCCAGATGGCAGTCAAGACTGCATGCAAGTCCTGTGCCATAAGTTCACCCCCAGCCTTTAGCAGTTCAGCAGAGATATCACATATGCCTGCAGCTTTTCCACTCTTCATCTTAGAAATTGCCATCCTAACCTCAGTTAGGGTAGGTGGTTCCTTGCTGATGGGTATTGTGATGATAACACTTGCATCCAAGCTAACTATTGGAGGGTCTACCTGGTACAGCTGCTCAAAATACTCAGGCTATCATTTAATAACCCCAACAGGATCTGAGATGATCTGTCCATCTACTGCAGTCATCTGCGAGAAGGGCTTAGAGTTCAACTTTCACAGGGCTTGGTAGGCAGGACGAAGGTCATTTACCAAGAAATGGCCTTCAACCTCCTCAGCAAGATTCCTGATGAACTGTTCCTTGTCTCTTCTTAGCAGTGTCCAAGCCCTATGCACCAAAGAGTGACATAAGCCCTGAGTGCCATTCAGCCGAGCGATATGACACACTTTAGTGGCCTCCATTGTCTCCTGAGAGAAGAAATTCTGCCTTGCCCTCGGGATATGTGCGAATGGATATGCGAATGGATATGTGCGCTGCTTCGTGTTTCGCGCTTGAGGGACTTCCACAGAGCAATTAGGTCTGTCAGGTTTTCAAGTTCTGTGAATTGAAAAGAGACTGCCGTGGCGAACCTACAGGCAGACTCCTCCTCCCTCAGTCTGTCAAAGTGAAACACCCTGGAGTGGTCACTAGAGGGATGAGGAATTGTGAAGTGGACCCATAGGGTAACCACTACCAACCTGTGGTCAGTACCACAGAACTTGGCACTCTGGTAAACTATGAAGGATCCATCACCGAATGCTGACAAGAATGTGGTCGATCTCCTTGGCCACAATAAACCATATCCAGCGATGTGGGTTGGGGGCCTGATACCAGGAGCCAGAAATCCTCATTTTCTGGGACCTAGCAAAGTCCCAAAGAAGGAGGCTGTTCTCACTGCTGGGATTAGCTCCCGAGCCATGGGGGCCGACAGACATCTCATAGCCAGCTCGATCATAGCTGGATACTACACTGAAGTCGCCCAGAACAATCTCCTTTGGTTGTTTCTCGTATATTGTACTGTACATTTATCCATACCTTTAGTTAAGGATATTACAGATACAATGGGATGGCATTTGTATCACTACTGGGAGAGAGATGGCTAAAAACTTTAGACGTTTAGACAGAACCATTAAAAACTGCAAATACATCAGGGTAATTTCAAACTAGTAATACATACATTAGTATACAGTAAGTGTGACAAAGGAAAAAAAGAGGGCAAAGATTATGCCTCATAAAGCGTCTTCGACTGCTTTCATCAGTACATGTATTTAGTGATTTTGTTCCGCAAGTGGAAGATGTAGGCAGTTCTTGGTATTATTTAGGGAAATCATAGGGCCAGGGTTACGTGAAACAGTTGTCTTTTCTTACAGTTAACAAGGTATAACATTTGCTAAAAA